CCTTCGAACTTCAGCTACGTTATTCACGTAGCTGAAGTTCCGTACCTTAGTTCGAATTAGGGGGTTAGTGTAGACCTGGCCTAAGTATCTACAATTTCACCTTAATGGATTATCAGCAGATCATCTGAGTATTTTTACTAAAACTATCAGCAGTGAAATAGTTAATAATGCTGGCACTCACACTGACATCATTAGACTTAAGAACTAATATTCCATTGAGAGGAATAAGGTAGTTTGCACCTGTCAAAGTTATTATTTTATGATATCAGCAGAGATTCAGAAATGCAACACTGTAGCAGTTCATATTTGGAGGGTTTTCTTTGCAACCATGAAAGTTAAGATACTTATTTTATTTAAAATGAAGCTTAGATTCTGCTACATAGGTCTATGACATACGGTGTATTCTGCAGAAAATTCCTTTGCACTAGAATACATGAGATTTTGAACATATGTTTTTTCTCCCCTGCTTGTGTCTCTTAATTTCTCTCTCCTTATGATATTATTTATTATTCAACTTTATAACTGAATTATTTAACTCTGTAAAGCAATTTGGAATACAGTAGCTATGAAAGATACTTCATGAGTAGGGCCCTTCATTTTTAGTTTTTATTTTATTTAATTTTTCCTGGGAATTTATCAGTGTTTATTACCACAACAAAAAAAACAGGTGAAAATCAGTGCAAACAACTATTAATAATTTTTCTGGATAAATATTAGGGTTTATTTTGGTGGACGGAAAGACGGGAAAAAGTATTTAGTAGATTAATGCTTTGAATTCCGTTGATCAATGTGATTTGCCGCAGAACAAAAACAGAACTGAAGACACAAGGCCAACTCTGAGTTTAAGAAAACAATATATCTCTAATACCCAAATAAAACTTTTCATTTGAATAAACAGTTTACTGTTGTAGACTTAGAACTATTAGCCTATAAATGTTTACATTTAATAATTGGGCCACATCCTTAGCAGCACATTCCCTGAACTTCAGCCTTTTCTCCTGGTTTTGTCTTTTTAAAACTTTCAAATACTTCCTTGTGTTCTGAAACGTATTCTGATACAGACTTTTGTTTTCTTCCCATTTTAGCGTGTCAGATCTTTAAACCATTATCTGCTAACAGCTTGAAATGTGTGTGTGATGGGAGTAAAGTTCATCAGTACATTCAGATGCTCATGCCCTTCAAAGATTGTATACATGCCTGTTTGTTTATTGTGTGTATCTTCTAGACTAATACACAGCCTTACTTCAACAGGCAGCTTTGCATACACACACAGACTAATGTATTATTGTAATACATATATCTCATGCAATGTATTGTATTTTCCTACTAAAACAAGTAATTTTTATATATTTGAATTATACAAAAGTTGGGTGAAAATCAGAAAAAAATGAATAATACTTTTTGTAAAACCCAGTAATTTTTTGGTAAAAATCAATTTAAGCTGAAAACGAAGGAGCTTATACATGAGGTAGTGTTGCCTTGTTAAAGCTACAGTGTCCCTAATACTTAAGCCTCTGTACAGATGTTTTTAAAATAATTGCATTACCCTACCACACCTTGCTTAACGCAATCTGAAATTCATGAGCTGATCATCCATTGACCTCAGCTGAAATTGCAGGTGCTCGGTTCTTTTCAGGATTTGGCCCAAAATACAACTGTTGAAAGAATGTCTCTTCAAAAAGAAATATGAGTAATTACAATAGGCACTCAGTATGGTATTGAGGGGCACAGGAAAACCTAGCTAGATAATATCCTCTTTAAAAAACACTATCTCTTTTCAAATAGCATAGTGGCATCCATCTCTAAATGTAGTGCAAGAAATTTAATTCAGGAGCAAACAGCATCTTAAAGCTTATACCTGTACTACTGCCAAACACTGTACAGTGTCCCCCAAATGCTGCCCTGGGGAACACTACGACTTGGGAGTTTAGCAACTGTGTTTTGGAGCCGAGATATTATAACCTTACAACAGGAAACTTTGTACTTGAAGATTATTGTGGTTATTTAGAAGGCTCATCAGGTATCAGCCCCTAGGCTAAAACAGTCAGAGCTAAAAAGCAAGCACCAGAATAGTCTCCTAGCTTATTATTATGCATCCAAATGATAAATTTACCACATGCCTCTACTCTACGCCATGCTCCTATAGAAACAGAAAGATTAGTTAACCTGCTGCTCAAGGCTTTGCTCTCTTGCAGGCCTATTTCAGTCAAGAGCGGTTTCTTTTCAATTATGTAAAATGATGTGATGCTGTAGAGAAACTCTAACAGGATTACATTCTAATGTGAGTCTAAGGGTGACAGTTTATCCTCCTTTAATATGACCAGGCTCCAATCTAGATCATGCTGTCCTGATCAGTCAGGACAATTTCTATATAAAATGATGAAGGGCTCACAGAGCCTTTTTCGGATGCTTGGGACCACACAGAGTGATAGTGGCTCCTGCACTCCTGTTCTGTGATTGGAAGTAGCCTGTGTGTGTCAGCAGTGTCTAAAAGAGAGA